AGCCGTGGTGCATGGTCTAGAGGCCGGTCATGCAGGCTGCACGCATGTTGGTGCAGAAACAGGAGAAGGGGGAGACAGAAGAAACAAAGTGCCACCAGGAGGCAGAGAAAGGATTCCTGGTTTTAGAGCTCATCAGCCCCAACAGAGGAGCAGATGCCATGCTTCCCCACCGGCAAGGGGGGAGGGGTTAAGCAGTCCACGTTGGGCCAGAGAAGACAGGGAAACTTCCCCGAAACAAAGAGAGTTTCGGCAGCTGCCTGGGAATATTCCTTGGGGTCTCTGTCTCGAGTTAGACTAGCCCCAGTTGGCTCCAGTTATATCCATTAACACGGGAAGTGAGTGAGGGAGAAGCCCCACATCTATCAGGAGGAACAGAGAGACATAAGGTCAGCGTCCCCTTTGCTAGGGATGGTCCAGCAACCTGGGTTTACTAGAAGAAGACTTATTTATGTAATTATCATCCAGTATGTCAGGAGGAAGTTTACTATCTGACTCATTCAGGCAAACACATTCTGCAAAGCCCCTTAGTTTGGGGTCCTGGTGTAGAGCAATGAAGGCCTAGGTATGAGCAATGAAGGTATCCTAGGTCCATTCGCCCTGTTTCCTGCAGAGGAGATCTAACTGATGGATCCCACTAAGGCCATGCAGTGTTACAGAACCTCAGTCCTTTCCTAAGTTTTGCAATCCAAATTATTTCCAGTGGGTTAAAAGACACCCCAAGGTAGAGTCCTTGGGAACTGAAGAAGCCTACTGAGGCCATGCTCCCAGAAAAGTAAAGAAGGTCCATTACCAAATCCCCCCCCCCGACTCCTGGGTGGCATCCCACGCAGGATATGTCAGAGGTTCCTGTGTGTCAAAAGTGACCGGAGGCGTCCCTCACACAAGCCATCGCTATTGATCACCATCCTGCCTTCCCCGAGAAGGCATTCCTGCCATAAAAGGCCCTGGAGGGGTGCCAGTGTCCCTCCCCTTCCCCATCGCATCCTAGGCTGCTGATGGGTGCCTGGTGAATGGACCAAAACACTGTGCCATGCCATGCCATCTTCTTTCCTGAAGACTGCATACTGTTTTGCCATTTTAACCCATGGAAATATTAGAAAAGTTTGGCAAGGGGAAATTACCCAATTTCGTACCTTTAAGTAGTCTGTAGAAGACACTGACAAGAAACAGTAAAGACTGAAATCCATCATGGTCTAAGTGACATTCCAACACATGTGGTCCTTGTAGCCAACTTCCCTAGGAAACATTCCCCGGCTGTGTTTTAATTCAATCGGATACTGGTTTCGGCCGGCTCCCAGTGGAGGTCTCTCGGCCAAAAGTGGCTAGACCAGGGATGTGGAGGGGATCACACTAGATCAATCAGGAGGAAACCTCACACGGGAGTCTTAAGATTGGCAGCTGTCCTGGTGACTCAGGTGGCTGTCCCGTGCCCAAGACAGACAACTTTATATAAGAACAGGAATACAGAGAGGGCATCAAGTTTCTGGGTCTTATTGCCATTCCGGCCAGGGTACTAACTTACAGCCAAAAGGCAGATGCTCTCCTCCCCGTAGAGTAGCCACGGGCTAGAGGATTACAGCCTGAGCAATTGACATGCAAGTGTTCCAATAAGACCATACTCCTTGAAAATCCTCTGAAATGAGACTAAAGGAAAAGGAGAAAGTACTCACCAATTTTGCACTGAAGCTCAGAGTCCAAATGTAAAGACTCACAGTCCCTTCGTGGTCGCCAAATGATGAAATTCTTGAACCTAGGTGAGGTTCGGTGGGGTGAGGTTCGGAGCCGACGGCTAAGAAAGAATTCTTAAGACGTCTTTGGTGCAAAAATGTGGTTTATTAGAGCACGGGGACAGGACCCGTGAGCAGACAGAGATGCTGCCCCGGGGATGTGAGGAGTGGCTGGTTATATACACAGGAGTCGGGTAGGTGAGGACAAAGGGGTGTTCAGAAGGGCTATTGGGGTAAAGAAGACTGTCAGGATATTGAAGGCCTGGTTACTATCAAGCCAAGGCCGCTTTCCCTCTAATGAGGCATTAACATAAAGACAATTGGGAGTCTCCTGGTGGAATGTCACATTCCTGCTACCAAGCGTCCTTGTTAGTGAGATTTAGGTTTAGAAGAAATTTAACTTTATTTACTTTTCCTTCTACCTCAGCCTCCTTCAGTTTTGTTTATGGTGGGGAGGGTGACATTAAGGCTTGAGGAGCTGAGTTATGTGCCTCTGGAAATTGGGCTATTGATAAGGTAACTTCTTTGTTGTAAATCTCTAGGACATTTGTAAACCAAGGGAGACTCTGTCTTGCAGGATTGTGATCTCTGCAAGTTAACTATTTGTTTGTCGTTTATGGCAGTCAGGGGTGCCTGAGGAATGTGACACATATTACCGAGGGGAGCGGGTGGAGAGGGGGTGCAAGGTGCCAGCTTTTGCTTTGTCCTCAGCCAGCCTCCTGCTCCCTCATCACAATGGGACCCCGAACAGCAGGCGAAATATCCAAATAAGGGAAACTTGCCAAAAGACCCCTGAACTCCCCTCGAGACCCCTTAAAAGCCCCCTTCTCCCTGCCTCAGGCGCGACTTCCCCCACTCTGCTTTCCAGAGTTGTGAAAACTCGCCCCAGGGTGCCCTCCTCCCATCGCAGTTTTCCTGGCTCCCCTTCTCCTGAGCTCTGAAACTGCGCGGGAGAGTGCCTTTAATAAATCTTGCCTTGTGCCACCTCGCCTGGTGTGTTTATCTCTCCGGAAAAACTTTACAAATTGCATTTAAAATTTTGATGTTTGCTAATTATATCATCAGTACTGCGCAGGAGTTTTTTTTTTAAGACAAATTCGAATGTTTTTTTGTTGTTGTTGTTATTATGTTCAATTACCCAACATATAGTACATCAGTAATTTTTGATGTAGTGTTCAATGATTCATTAATTGAAATTTGAATGTTTTAAAAGAAAAACGGGTTTTTGGAAACACGCTATGAAAACTAATTTTCAGGCCACCTGGGTGGCTCACTTGTTAGACGTCTGCCTTCCGCTAGGGTCATGATCCCACGGTGCTGGGATCAAGCACCGTGTTGGGCTCCCTGCTCCACGGGGAACCTGCTTCTCCCTCTCCCACTCCCCAGGCTTGTGTTTTTTCGCTGTCTCTCAGCCAAATAAATAAATAAAATCTTTCAAAAAATAATAATAATTTTCGTTTGTGCCTAGGGAGGGTGGGAAAAGGCCCCTGGTCGACGTCTTCCTCATCGCCCGCCCAGATTGTCTCCAGAAGCCGGAAGACCCTTTCTGGAGTCCACCTGATTTCTCGAGGCCACTGCTGCGCCTGTGCGGTCTCCGCCTGACCGCCAGGTGGCGCGAGAGAGAACGGAAGTCCTCCTCAGCCGCTCGTCTCCCTGATCCCGGCAGCAGCCTGTGCAACCCGGAAGCTGTGGCTGGCAAAGGGGTAGTGCTTCCGGGTAGGAGCGAGGTGACCCCGGCTGCTGCGGGAATCTGCGGCGACTGCAGCCATGGGGGCGCATCTGGTCCGGCGTTATGTGACCGATCCATCGGGGGAGCCCGATCCCCAACGGATGCCCACCTTCCCCCCTGACTACGGCTTCCCGGGGCGCAAGGAGCGCGGTGAGGCCCAGTGCGCAGGCGCGGCCGGCTGGAGTGGGACGCGGACGCCCGGAACTCCCGAATCGCGGGGTACCCAGGGTTGGGCTCGGGTTCCCGGCGCTGTGTCTGGGCTCAGCCCCGCAGCGTGGCCCGGAAGAGTCTAGAGGACTCCCGTGAGCCTGGCTGAGTATGGAGGCATCCCAAACAGAAGTCACAGTTGGAGCAAAAAGCCTGGGGGCGAGAGTGGCAGTCTGGGGCCGAGAGGCGGTCGGAGCCGGGCTTGGTCCTCGAGGCAGTGGGGAGGCAGGGCAGGGTGTATCACGGAAGGGACGTGTCCGCTGTATCTCTGTCCAGATGGTACTGCTGTTCAGGTCATACACAAAACACAAGAGGGGCCCCCTCAGGCCGCACATGTCCTGCTCGTTGCTCTTTTTATGTAGCATTATCACAAGCATATCGAGGGCCAGCCTGGCCAGGTCTCAAGTTGGGCACCGTCCATACAGCAGACACTGACTAGAGGGAACGCCAGCCCTGTGGGAAAGACAGCGGAATCGGGCATATCTCGGGGGGCGGCACCTGGGGTATCAAGGCAGGCTTCCAGGAGGCGGTGGCTGGAAGCGACATCTGAGAGGGATACGTAGGAGTTGGCCAGATAAAATACAAGGAGAGGGGAGAGTCCGTGCTTCTAAGCAGAGGGACATGACCAGACTTGCTTAGTCAAAAGATGCTGGCTGCTGCGTGGGGAGCGACAGAGAGACCTCTAAGCCAGTGGTGTGCAGAGAGAACGTTAGGAGGTGGTGGACTCCTCCAGTGTCCCAAATCCTGATGGTCTGTCAGTCCCACGTGAACCCGCATCCGGTCAGTCCCCCACTTCCTTATCATGTGAATCCTTTGCCCATAATGACACAGGCCCCTGCTCCTCTTTCTTGCTTGGCTAAACCAAAACTGGACTCAGACTGGGCTTTCCTTGGCATCTATCCCTGTGCAGCCGAACATTACAGGAGAAAAACACCTAACCTGGCTGACTGCTCTCCCCATGTCTCCCCTTGCTGACCCTCACGCTGCTGGTTTTCCTACTACCTTCTCTGGCACTTGGCTCATTCTCGTGCCTTCCTAAACCCCATACCTTCTCTCTCAGAATTCAAGTACCTCCCTCCAGCTAGTCACTTATATCTCTTATTAAGAAAATACAAGAGGGATGCCTGGGTGGCTCAGTTGGTTAAGCAGCTGCCTTCGGCTCGGGTCATGATCCCAGTGTCCTGGGATCGAGTCCCACATCGGGCTCCTTGCTCGTCAGGGAGCCTGCTTCTCCCTCTGCCTCTGCCTGCCATTCTGTCTGCCTGTGCTCGCTCTCTCTCCCTCTCTCTCTCTGACAAATAAATAAATAAAATCTTTAAAAAATAAAAAAAAAAAAAAAAAAGAAAATACAAGCAACCAAAAGAGCTCAGCTTCCCTGCATCTCTATGATGGCCTTCTCTCTTGTTCCACCAGATGATCTGCTCATGCACTAGCCAGGCATGCGCCCCCCCGCCACTCCAGACGAACGCTTTGTGCCACCTGTCACATCCCCTTGCCTGTTGTCTGCCCCAACCCTTCTTGTGTAACACTGGTTTTCCCATCATCATGCAAACACACTTATTTCTACCATTTGAAAATCCCTCCAGCTGAATCCCCACCACTTCACAGAAGGGGATCCTATCCAACTTCCCACTCACCCTCCACTCTGTCTGTATCCCTGAACCGGTTGTCATTTCTCTGTTCTAACCCACTGCAGCTGGCATCCAAGTTGATCGCTACCACTTCCTGGAAACCCCTCTTCACCTGGTGCCCAGGTGCCCGCATGCCCACACACCTCACTGATGGGCCCTCAGGATTCCTCCCCATGTCCCTGCCTTATAAATGGTGAGGTACCTTGCTGCTTGGGCCTTCCATCTCCACTCACTCCCACCCAGCCCTGGGGGTCTCTGCCAGTCCCCTGGTTTCACGTGCCTTGTGATGCTCCCAGTTTTTTATCTCCAGCTGGGCCTGGACCCTCAACTCCAGATTCGTGGGCATCTCCCACTCAGCAGGTCCAGAACAGAATTCCTGACTTCCCCACCAAGCTTGCCCCTGGCTCTAGCTCCGGCCACATGCTTGTGTTGGGGGGCCGAGAGCCCTGGTGCATCCTGAACCTCTTATCACCTCAGGGCCTTTCAACCTGCTGTCCCACCACTGGGAATGCTCTCCGCCCAGGTAGGACTCACTTCCTCACCTTCAGATGCCTTTCTAGGGGACGCCTGCATCTGAGGGGTGACCCATACCCCAACACTGCCCCTCTCTCCGTTGCTTTACTTTGCTCCCTAATACTGAGCATTGGCAGACATTCTGTGATAAGCTGGTTCCACGTGACTGTTGTGTCTGCCTCCGAGGGCAGGCACCCTTGTCTGGCATGTTCCCTGCTGTATCTCCAACACCTAGCACACAGTAGGTGCTGTGTGACTCCTGGCTCACGCCAGAGACCCCACTACTGCTGGTGCCACACTGCTGTGCAAGCCAGCAGGGGGCTGCAGGTGGATACCCAGGCCTGGGGCTCAGATGAGGTTGGTGGGACCAAGTTAGGGCTCATCCACCTGTGGAGTGGGATCGAGCCACGGATGAGAATGAGCAGAGAGCTCCTAGCAAGAACCACTGGAAGCCATCATTTAATGTTTGGGCAGCCAGAGAGTGGTCCCAGGGAGCAGTGGGGAAAAGAGCATTCGAGAAAGAAGCAGGCAGGAAGTTGAGGAAGCATGGAGTCCTGGCATCTCGGGAGGCCCTGGTGAAAGCCGTGTGTGGGCAGCGTGAGGGCTGGAAGAGCATGGGGGCAGGGGCAGGAGATGAGGTCCGGCTGGGAGACAGAAAAATGGGACTGGAAAGCAGAGGGGAAGGAAGCCAGCCAGGGGAAGGTACAAGATCGCCGTGGACACCTTTTGGGGCTGATGGGGTGGCCCCTGGACCAAGAAGACGTCGAGGGGAGTGGGGCTGGCCCTGAGGTTGCAGGACGCCTGGGTCCAGGGCCCCATGTTGGGCTGAGGAGAGTGGGTGGTCATAGGCTGGGGTAGGTGTCCAGTCCTACCAGCCCCAGTCAGCCTCGTAAGGGTGATTTCACCCCGTCAGATGTGCCCGGCGGCCACGGCACCAGGACCAGGAGCCAGTTCAGCTCCTCTGAGGCATGGGCCCAAGTGCTTCACATGTATTCGCACACTGTTGACTCTGGAGCTGGGGACATGACTCCACTTCTTAGCAGAGGAGGTGGAGGCTGCCGGCAGGGCAGGGCCGGGCCAGGATGCATGTGCCCCAGGCAGCGCTGGGGTGTGGCCCTCCGGGGGACAACACACTGAGAGAAGGTGGTTTCCTGGGAGAAGGTAGTTTCCGAGCATGGGCTCTGCAGGGTGGAGCTGTCTGGAGAGTGAGCCTGGGGGAGGGAGCCCCAGGGAAGGGGACGTAAGGATCCAGTACAGATGCGGAGGCACCCTGGGGTGATGGGGAGAGGGACCCTTTCCGTGTCTGGGCCTCAGCGTCCAGAGTGGTCTTTGCGCATATTAGAAAGGACACTGCCGGAGGGTGGCCGTACTGCAGGCGCCACATGCCATTGGGGGCTCCCGGGAGTCTGGTGTGAGGGTGGGAGACGGGTCTCGGGCAGTTCGAGCCCAGCAAGCCTGCCCGCTCCTTGCAGAGATGGTGGCCACCCAGCAGCAGATGAACGACGCGCAGCTGGTGCTGCAGCAGCGGGACTACTGCGCCCACTACCTCATCCGGCTGCTCAAGTGCAAGCGCGACAGCTTCCCCAACTTCCTGGCCTGCAAGCACGAGCAGCACGACTGGGAATACTGCGAGCACCTCGAGTGAGCCCCAGACCCACCCCCAGCAGGACACTGCCCCACAGACAAGACAGCCAGCCGGCTCTGAGGTTCCGACCAGGCCCCAACTTGGTTCGGAGGAATCTCAAGGGGCCTGCAGGAGGGCTGGATGGCTCTGAGGCCCTGGAGGAATGGCCAGGCCGGGTTCCAGGTTGGAGGCCCAGCTTCAGCCCTGGGCTCACTGGTGTCAGCCAGGCAGCTCTGGCCCAGGCACACCCCACGCTTAAGCCAGGCACACAGGTCTTTCCCACTCAGAGGCTTCCCAGAAAGCTGTGGGGCACCTACTCCTGTCCCTTCAGCTCCCCGGGGCGTGGGAGGGCCTGGCTGGGAAGCCTGACCGCTGTTCACTGCTCTGCTTACAGCTACGTGATGCGCATGAAGGAGTACGAGCGGGAACGGCGGCTGCTCCAGCGGAAGAAGCGGCGAGAGCAGAGGGAGGCAGATGTAGCCCGAGGCCAGGGTTCCGGTGAGGTGGCCCCTGAGGTCGCCCTGTAGTGGGTCCGCCCCCACCCTGTGGACAGGTTGATAAATAAAAGCCTCCAGGCCCCTCAGCTGGAACCGGGCTTCTTTCTGTGGTATGGTCCCAAAACCACCCCCCGACCGCCACCACCGCCCCAAAGAAAGCCTGAGTCCAAGTTTGTCAGGGAGAGGCAGGTTTTATTCCAAGTGCTGGAGAGCATAGTCCCTACTCCTCCTCCAGAATGACGTCGGAGCAGAGGGATGAGAGCCCGGGACGCAGGAGCAGCTCAGAGCAGGAAGGGGATGATGGGCATGCGCAGGGGCGGGTAGTCCCGGAACTCTTTCAGGTAGCTGCGGTGCTTGCCCTTGGCCCAGATGGTCATCTGAGTGAAGCCCACCAGGGAGAAGAGGGCCACTGTGGGGCAGAGCAGGGGCGTCAGGGAGGGGCTGCACAGCCCTAGTGGGCTGGGCCCCAAGGAGCAAGGGACAGTGGGCTCACCTGGGAGACACTGTGTCATGATGGCAAAGCCAATCCAGGACCCCACCTGTGGGGAGAGCGGTCAGGGGTGAGGGTGAGCAATGCCTGCTGTTCTGCAGAGGCCTCGTCACCCCTCCGGGGCCAACTCTTCCCCCCAACCCTTTCAGAGCGAGGAGATGGAGACCAAACTCCAGTGCCAGAGAGGCCTTGAGCAAACAGGAACCTTATGAAGCCGCCCCCAGCCCCCTAGAGATGCCTCAACCACGCCCCAACACCCAGAAAGGCCAGCTTTTCCATCCCCATATGCTCCAAATGGCTAAAGCAGTTACGGAGCCAGGCACCTCTATTAGGGGCTGGCCCCTCCATGTGGATGGGACCCCAGCCCCTAGAGGGAGAGGAGAGGAGAGCAGGGCAGACCCTCACCTCGTAGGTATAGTTGGGACAGGACACCAGCAGGAAGAGCCAGGTGAAGGGGTTCTTGGTAGGGTAGGGGATCTTCCTGGTTTTGGACCCTGGCAGGCAGGACAGGAGGGTCAAGTGAGACCCTCTCGAGCAGCCCGCTCACCACCACCCTTTGCCTGGGACAGGCCACTCACCAGCCGGCCGCAGGTCCCGCAAAGCCATGTGGATGGAGAAGTTGCCGAGCTGGCAGATCTGTTGGAGCGGCAGGGTCAGCCCGGAGCCCCCCAGACTCCCCACCCCATTCCCCTCCTCCCGGCCTGCTTACCACAAAGATGGCGAGCGCCAGTTTCACCTGCTGAGCTCCGTAGGCTGAAGGGGAAGCGGAGAAGGGAGTCATATGAGGGGAGAGCCCGGGGGGGGGGGGGGGGGGGGGGCACAGGGGGGGGCGGGGCAGGGCAGGTCCAAGGCCACTTACTGGGGGGGGTGTAGAGAGGGTGGTTGATGTAATAGGCCATCCAGGCAGCGAAGCCCCAGTAGTAGGTGCAGTTCTGAAAGCAAGCAGGGCTGGGATGAGGCCTGGCCCAGCGAGGGTGGGACAGGACACGTCCCACAGCAGGGAGTGGGGGTGGGGAGTACCCCAGGGCACTCACCTTGAAGATGTTGCGCAAGGGCATGGTGCCGTGGGAGAAGCGGTGCACAAAGAGCGTCTCCAGCAGACGCTTGATGTAGTGGAATGAGTGGCAGATGCAGGCGAGGCTGGGGTTGGGGGCACTGGCTCAGCTGGGGCAGGTCCAGCAGGCCTTTCCCCTCCCCCACTCCCCCCTTCCACCTGACCCCACTCACTGCACCACTGTGTGCCGGCTGGATGTGAAGTCGTATTTGTGGCCATAGATGAAGGGCACCCGGAAGTAGAAGAGCAGGTAGATGAAGAGGGGCCCTGCGTACTCGGTCAGGAAGACCTGAGGGTATGGGGAGCAGGTGAGTCACCCCAACGTGGCTGACAGGAGAGGAGGCCATGAATAGGTCTGGGACTCACCGTCACCCAGCTGATCTGGGCCCCTAGGTCCCGGAAGTAGAGTGTGGCCGTGGTGCCCACGGGCAGCTTCTGCAGAACATCCTCATCCTTCAGGGACTTGCCTTCTGCAGTGACAGGCCAGGGCTCAGAGCTGCCCAGACCTTTGCCCACCGCCACCCTGGAGCCTAGGGGCAGCCGAGCAGACAGCTGTACTCACTGGGGTCCAAGCGGAGGGACTGGCGGGCAGGGTACCACTGTGGATCTGTGGGGATAGCAGGGCATCATAGCACACAGCATAGCAGAGCCCAGGGACCCCACGTCTCCAGTCCTGGAACAAGGGCTCTGAGGCCTGTGCCTCCGGGACACAGCTGGAAACAGCCCAGGCAGAGGCAGGATGTTGTCCTTCCGAAAGCCAGCAAGGGCGTTCCTGCCAATGGCCACGCAGGGACACCTACCCCAGGCAAGCCAAAGAAACCTGGGCCACACTGGGGGGCATCTCTGCAGAACCCTGGGGGAGAGGAGTGCAGAATCGGGTCCCACCCAGAGGCGCCTGCCCAGAGGGGTCATGGAGGGCAGCGCAAATGGGCCCTGGACTTACGGGTCTTGGTGAAAAGGTTCTTGATCTCGGCAATGGTGGCATGGGGTTCCACCTGGGGGAAGCAGAGGCCGCAAAGAAGTTGGGGCAGGGTGGGGTATGATCAAGGACCCTTCCTGATAAGGGGACTGGACCGGGGGCCTAGCTGCTGCTAGGGGAGGGGGACGGGTGGAGTCCAAGCCCCCCCTCCCCCACATGGCCGAAAGGAGCAGCAAGGGCCCTACCAGAGTGGGGTAACTATAGGCCTGAGGCTTGGTTTTACCAAAGGCGGCCAGGATACCCCTGCTTCACCGGGCCTGCTTCTCTGCTTCTCCTCCTCACCCCACCCACAGCTCCCCTCAGAAAGAAGGCCTCTAGGGACCAGAACTCCTTGCGGCAGGTCTCAGAACTCCCGACTTCTTCCCAGGCCCCAAAGCCCTACAGGGTCCACCAAGGCTGCTTCGCCTCCTCCCACCAGGAGCCAGCTCCTGGCCACACCCAAGGGCCATCGCTGCCCACTCCACCCCAAGCTGGCAGCAACAGACCTGGGGACAGTGTCCCTTGTATGCCTGAGGAGCAGGTGGGGAGTCAAAACACAGGTTGGAGGGGCACAAAGGGTCCAGCTGGACAGCTCCCATCTCAGAACGAGAAGCCCCAGGAAGGAATAGGGACCCGGGCCCAGTGCCCTTGGCCCAGTACAGCCGGCACCAGGGTCCTACCTTGTCCAGGAAGCAGAGCTTCTCCCGCGTCTTTGCATCCAAAATCTCCACCTCGAAGAAGAGAACGGCCTTTTTAGGTTTTTTGGTCACTTTGGTGGGTGCGATCCGGGGGAGGCCATTGAGGCCGAGGCTGGGGCCCGGGCCGAGGCCCTGGCTGGCCTCCCGGGCCACCATGCTCATGTTCAGGTCCATGCTGCCCTGTTCTGCCCACCACAGCCAGCGGCCCCAGCTGCCGGCCGTCAGCCCCCACCGCGGACCTCCCCACGCCAAGCGCTCTGGGCTGGGCTGGCGTGATCAAATTCTGCCGCGGTGCTGGAAGGGAGCCCGCGCCTGCCCTGGCACCGCTGCCTTCTGTGCCGCTGTAACCCGAGTGCCCCGCAGCCATGGCCCAGCTAAATATATAACTGCCCCAGACTCAGCCCCCCAGGAGCCGGGCCACACACCACCTGGGGGCAACCCCCGGGTGCTGGGACCCCTGAAAGTGAGGCTCTCCAGTGGACACAGCTCCAAGGGGGCAGGGAGACCCCGAGGCAGGCACGGAGGCACCTCCCAACTGGGGCCAGTACAGGGTGGATTCAGGCACGGGAAGAGGGTGAACGGCCCGCAGGCAGCCCGAGCCCCGGTGCCCAGCTCCGGCCCACAGAGTTCACTTGGCTTGGAGAAATCCCAGCTATTTTGAGAATCCGAGAGATAGATCATCCATTTCCCCTTCTGAGCTGTAAGAGACGCTGCGGATTATTTTCCTTGTGCACTTATGTTCCCAGGGAGGTGACAGATTCCGCAGTTATTGGTGCAGAGAGCCTCTCCCTAAGTATGGAAAGGGTCAGGAAACCAGGAGGTTTCCAGCTAGCATCCTGAGCCTGGACTGATGAGCCCTCGGCCCCTGCCTCCCTGACCTCCCTCTCCACTCATTTCTCACTAGGTCCACCCAGGCCTTGTTCAAGGCTTTGGGGCAGCCTTCCCACTGTATCAACCCAACACAGCACCCCTAACTAGGCCCTAACCCCCACAAAGCCCAGAGCACAGAGCCTGGCCACCCCCCACCCCACTGCTCTGCTTGAGCCCCCAGAGAGTGACCGGTCTATAGCAGAGCAGTGGGGCAGAGCTGGGCAGGGAGAGAGCCCTCAGGGGAATCTGACCCACCCGTCCCTAGCAGGTCAGA